ATATCATTATAATATATATATACTTATATATATATATATATATATATATATTTCAAGTTTGTAAAAAATAAAATAAATTATTTCTAGAGAGTTTGAAATTGTTAAATTTTTAATTTCTCATAATAATTTGTTTAGATTGATACAAATTGATCTTATAGGAATAATGTGATATGGAGCTTACACTACATAAGTGATTTAACCACTTTTTAACACAAAATAAAAAAACATAAAAAAATATGAAGTAATAAAATAAAAAAAAAATCATCTTCATTCTTCTTTTCATTGTATGTAAGAAAAGAATAATTTTTTATTTTTCAAATTATAATGAATAAATATCAAATATATTTGTTTATTAAAAATAAATGATAAAACTAAACATATTAAAAGTAAATAATAAAGTTAAACATATTAATTTTTATTTCATTCTTTCACATATTATATTTATTTTTAAGAATTTTGTAAGTAAAATTCTATTAAATTAATATATCAATATATATATATATATATGTGTGTGTGTGTGTGTGTCTATTAAGATAAATGATTTATCTAAATAGTGTTTAGACTATATTTGTAAAAAATCATATAATTAATTACGCAAATATTATTTATATTTGCAAAACAAAATTTTATTTTCATTTACAAAAAGGTTATACGTGCTAATTTTATTTTTAATTTTTAAAATTAATTTTACTTTAATGAAAAAAATTTTAAATTAACTTAAAATATTTATTTCACTTATCATAAATTATGACTCCGTCTCTTATTGATGAGATTGTTCTGTTCACAGGCCATCTAACATTTACACCCTTTTAATACATAAATATTCGACACCTCTTTCAATTTACCAGGTTTTAATAATTGTCTCACATGGATGTATGCAAGACATAATTATTAGTAAGCCCAAATATTAAAAAAAAATCTTTGAATTATTTCATTATTTTTAAATAAACTCTTATATATTTTTTATATTTAAATAAATGTTTATAATTTGATTTGTATATAAATAAGTTTTCATTTCAAATAAAAGAATGATGTATAAGGAATTATTTATGTATAAATTAAAAGTTTAATAACTTATTTACATGCAAATTAAATGTTAAAGTATTATATGAGTACAAATTAAATATTAAAAAAAATTTTAAATATAATAAAAATATAAAATTTTATTTAATAAAAGTTATGAAATTTAAGATACTTTTCTTTTTTAATTTTAGCATTATTAGGACTTCTAATATTTATGGACAAGTTCAGACAAGAAAAGATATCCAGTGCAGTTCGTTGATCGTTGAACTTTCTGTTTGGGGTAGGTCAAGTTATCCCAGTGCATCGTCCGGCTTTAAAGTGATGAAAGGGCTAATAAGTACCTTCTTGGAACTACTCCAATTGTTGGTAAAGTTTACCGCCGATTTCTTTATTTGCCTCAGTTGTACGTAGAATCAATGATTTTCTCTTCTTTTTTCTTTCCCTCGAAGTTTCCATTTGCCTGTTGTTAGGAAAATAATACTCAACCTCGGAATCGACTTCAACCGCAAAAGTCACACACTCGTTGATACGTACGACCTTTTAATTCGTTGCATTTATATTTTCTACTTAGTTTACCAGAAAACTCTGAACAAGAAAATCTGTAATAATATATTATGACCTTCACTTGAAAGCCCTTTCCCCGAAATTGCTATGGTAACTGCCAGTTAGGATTTATAACTCATAATATTGAAGCTTTACCTTTAGGTTAATTAAGCTATCATAAAAAATAATAATAGGAGAGATTGTCATTTCTTATTTTTATTCATAAATAAAACATTTGAAATAAAAAAAATAAACAAGAGAAAATAAAAAAGGAGTGAGTCAAATATTATAAATCCATAAAATATTTATTTACTTTTAGAATTGTTTTATTTTTATTTAAAATATATATGATAAAATAATGTTATTTTTTTTAACTCTATCAAATAATTAGACTATGTAAAAAAAATATTTTAATTGTTTTTAATTAAAATTAAAATTAAAATTTGAGATTTTCGAGCCGATTCTAGAAAAATTATTTTAATTCCATCCATTTTTTAATTTTTCTTACAAAATCACACCAACAAAAAAAATCATAGTTTTTCCATCTTAATTTGGATTTTTTTCTCTCTCAATTTTTTATCTTTTTAATTTTCTATCCTCTGCAAAACCTTTAAAAGTGCCATAATTTCCTTCCCCATTTCCTGCCATAAATTGGTCTTCATGACAGGTCTTAATAGAAATAGCAATGGACCCCTTAAGAGTTTAATTTTGTGCTTTAGCTGACAAGCATAGTTGCGGGGTGCATGCCGAAAACTTTGCTCTGTACACACAGCAAATTGTCAATTGATCAATTTAAGTTGAAAAGTGCAATGTCGTGACTGGCTTACTGGTTTTCCAGGAAGTTTAAATGCTTTCTGTTTTTCAAGGGAGTGTTTGTTATCAATAATAAATGTTTTCTTTTTTTCAAGGCAGTGTCTGGTATTAATAATAAGAAATGTTATAATAAATAGTAAATAATTTTGTTAACTTGACTATTTTTAAGAAATTTTTAAGATTAATTAATATTATATTTATAATAATATTTTTATTTAATGAATAATTGATAGTTAATATATTAATTTTCAATATATTGAAACAAAATATTATTTAACATAATAATTTTAAAATGTTTTTTTAGAACTTTTGTAAGCAAAATTCAATAATAAAAAATTATTTAAATAATTTTTAAGGGAGAATTTACAAATATAGAAATAAAAATATTTATTTTAAGTCTCGCACGACGTGTCTAATGTTAGGCTAAAAAACTCCAATCCAATCAAGCCAACAAAAGCAAAATCAAATGATTAAACAATCATATAAGAGACAACAATTTAATGTAGTTCGACCAAATCAACTTATGTCCATAGATGAAAAAAATATCCACTAATTATAGAGAGTTACAAACATATATCAAATCAATCAATCACTCAATAATTAATATTCATAGATACTTTCAATCTCTTCTAGTCTTATGAAGTATTATTAACTCAAACAAACGCATACCTATGTGCACCCATGCATCATATCTATATAGACCCTCTCAATATCTTTTAGTCCATTTACAAATATATAAACATACACACTCATAAGACGTAAATCTTTAGTAGTTTTATAAGGTGTCTATCTCATAAAATCCTACAACTCTCTTATATCTTTTTCTCATACCTAATCCTGTAGAGAGTTCACTTATTTATAAACATACATATTTGCCTATTAAAAATTTTTTTACTTTTAAAAATTTTCTTTTGTAAGTCAAACTTACCTATTAAAAATTCATTTTCTTTTAGAATTCTTCGTCAGTAAATCTTCTTGTCCATCAAATAATATCTAATCAATTTTCAAACAAATCTGTTATGGGATTTGAGTTACTATTTCCAACAATTTTCACCTTAACTCAAATTTCATCAAATCATATATTTTCATATTAGACATGCTTGACTGTACCTGTAATAAAAATCTCACAATCATCTTTTTTTGTGTACCTTCATGTTTCACGCAAATTAATTTTTAAAATACGAACTCTAATTTTTTTCTTGAATCGAGCTCTTCTGGACTTACCTTTTCCAATGGCTTGAACCTTTGAGTTTGATACGACTTGTTAGGGATTACCGTAGCTCTGATATAATTTATTAGAAATTATTACAACTTCGATACCATTTGTTAGGTTAAAAAGCCCCAATCCAAGTAAGCCAGCGAAAGCAAAATCAAATGATCAAATAATCACACAAGAAACAATAATTTAACATGATTCGATCCAATTGACCTAAGTCCATGAATAAGAAAAAGATGAAAGAGAGTTGTAAAGTTTTATTGTGATAGACAACTTATAAGACTATTAGAGATTTACATCTTATGAATGTATATGTTGTATGTTTGTGAGTGGATTAGAGGAGATTGAGATAGTCTATATAGATATGATACATGAGTACATATGGGTATGTGTTTCTTTGTGTTAAAAAGGTATATATAGCTATATGTTTGTTTAGATTGAGAATACTTTAGAGAATTAGAAGAGATTGAGAAGGTCTATAGGTGTAATTGTGAGTGATTATTTTAATATTTTAATGTAATTTTTTATAACTAATGATTTTTTTTATTTGTAGACATAAACTAATTGGATCGAATTATATTAAATTAATATTTTTTATATGATTGATTGATTATATAATTTAACTTTCACTTATTTAATTAGATAAAAAAATTTTACTTAACAAATAATATCAAAACTAAATGATCCTTAATAAATAATATCAAAACTATAATCATCCCTAACATCTAAGTGACTGTACTTGGTGGCTAATTCTCCATCTGCTTGGATATTACATCCTTCTCGGAGGAGTAATCACATCACCTCAAGAGATATCAATGATATTATGTCACTCTATCACATTGATTGGAAAGCAAAAGCACTCTTATTATATAAGTAATTAAAATTATATCAATATTGTTATATAATAATAAATTAATACGTAACATGTGCATAAAGCTGATTTACAGTAACATTAATTACACATATCGAATGAAAGGGTATGTCTTTTATAAAAAATAAAATAAAATTATTTTATGGTGTGTAGACTATATTAACCTCTTCCCTTTGATCAAATTTCAAATTATACTCATGTCACAAATAAATTTTTTATTAATTTATTGAGAATCTTTATTCAATTATTCAATTGTAATAAATTAAGCTTTAACAAAGTGGTGAATCTTAAAAATTAGTGAACTTAACAAAAATAATTAGTTTAGCAAAGTAAAAACTTGTTAACAACATAAAATAAATAATTAATCAGAAATTTTCATGGTTACCAAAACAATTAATAATTATTATTTTATTAAAATACTAAAAAAAAAAATTCAGATGCAAACTGCACGTTAACGAGAAAACAGAGCGTAACGTTTTTGCCAAACGAGGCAACAGATCGTGGTGTGGAGATAATTTTGGCGGTGGACGGAAACTTTAGAAGTCAACAAGTCAATTTGTCGAGGAGGGCCTCTCAGTCTCGGTTAATAACCCATTCCGGATAGATTATGGTCTTAAGATTTCTGAATTATTGAAAAGCATTGGAAGAAGATGATGCACTATTATGTTGTTCTTTCTGTTTCAGGCGCATTTTACCTGCTCCTCTTTCTTTCTTCTTCGCTCCTTGTTATCCCACAAAACGTGTCCGAAATGCAGCAGGCTTATCTCTATACAAGATGTTCAGAAATATTTAATTCTAGTATTCGGTTCGCGAACAACCTTAACCACCTTCTCATCCGGCGGTTTAATGACCAAGGAAGTATTTATAGTTTCTTTAACGATACGGCAAGGGAAAATCCAGAGAAGGTTTATGGCCTTTTCCTCTGTCGAGGTGATGTTTAACCCAATTTCTGCCAATACTGCATTGCCTTAGCAACCGCTAAGATCTTAGAGGATTGCGCTGGTGACAAAGAAGCGATTATATATTATGATGCATGCCTTGTGCGCTATTCCTATAGATCTTTCTTCTCTACCATGCAGCTAACACCTGCTTTTGCTATGTATAATGATGCAAATATAACGGACCTTGATAAATTTGAAAAGAATTTGGCCGAGACTTTCGACAATCTGACTAGGATGCTTTCAAATGTTTCTAACCACATGTATGCAACTACAGAAGTTAATGTTTCAATTTCCATGAAGCTGTATGGCCTTGTTCAATGCACCCCTGATTTGTCAGTTGCAGACTGTCAATCTTGTCTACGTAGCTCAATCCTATCTTTAGAGACTGGAAGACAAGGTGGGAGATTTTTACGACCAAGCTGTAGCATCAGGTATGAGATATATCCATTTTATGGAAAACCTCGAGACGAATCAACAAACACTACGATAATCAAGAATCCTGGAGTTGAATCAGAAGCATCCCTTCCTTCAGTAAACAAAACAAGTGGCTCAAACGGTTAGTATCATCAGATGCTAGAGAATTAAGCTTGCCTAATTTTTAGTTACTGAAATTTTCACCCATCAAAAAAGAAAGTTGGAAAAATACCTGCTACAGAAACTAATTGCAAATTAATTAATATCTGCCAAACAGAAGCAGCTAGAAGAATACAAAAATTAGAAATTTATTCCACTAAAAATCAACTGAAAGATAACTTTGTTTTGGAGTAACAGATTTAGAAGGTGGCAAACAAGGCGAACCAAATTGGATTCCTATTGTTGCAAGTTTATCCGCAATTTTTGGGGTCACCCTGTTCTGTTGTGGAGGTATTTTCCGTTGGAGAAGGAGAAATTTTCATGGTATGCATTGGATCACACTTCCACCTCATTTTTTCTTGACTCTGTTGTTTTGCCAATTATTGTTTTCTCTTGAAGAGAATATAGATCATAACAGCCAAGAAGTTCAGTTACTTGGATTAGGAGAAAGAGTTGGCGACGGCTACTCAATTGAAAATTTTCAAGGTGAGAGTGGCGTGAGATCTAAGGATTTCCCTTCGATTCAGCTAGATATTTTACAAACAGCAACAAAACAACTTTGTGATGAAAATAAACTTGGAGAAGGTGGATTTGGCCCTGTGTACAAGGTAACTATGGTGATGGAGTATTATACTTTTAGTATACGATGCGCTTCTTCAACTTCACAGTTCACATAATTAGTTCTTTTATGATGCTTGTTAATTCCTTCTTTTAAGGCAAATTGGCAGATGGAAAAGAAGTTGCAGTTAAAAGGCTCTCTAGAACTTCTGGGCAAGGGTTACTTGAGTTCAAGAATGAAGTCATGTTAATTGCCAGACTACAACATAGAAATCTGGTGAGACTCCAGGGCTGCTGCTTGGAGCAGAACGAAAAACTGCTTGTCTATGAATACATGCCCAATAAAAGCCTTGATGTGTTCCTCTTGGGTTTGATCCTCAAACAAAAAATTCTTGTTTCTGCTTTATTCATTCTGTTTTTTAACAGGAATCTTCATGAAATATGGTAAAAAATCAACTAACTACTACATTCTTTTGGGGGGTTCTTTTCCAGATTCAAGCATTGGTGTGCAACTGGTTTGGCAGAAGCGTCTTAGCATTATTAATGGCATTGCCCCAGGCATCCTGTATTTACATGAGGATTCTCGTCTTAGAATTATTCATAGGGATCTTAAAGCTAGCAATGTTTTGCTAGATCACGAGATGAACCCAAAGATATCAGATTTTGGAATGGCTAGAATTTTTGGTGCATATCAAAATGAAGCAAATACAAACAGAGTGGTTGGAACATAGTAAGTCCACTATCCCATGCCTTCTAGGCTCACAGTTCTGTTTTTTTTTTTACCAATCTAGGTTCTTCATTTGTTTTCTTTTGATCTTTAATATTGCATCTGTGTCAAATAAAATTTTATTGAAAAGAAAGAATCAGCATTGAACTCGTAAAATGGAAAAGCAATACATCAGATCATAGTCTTTGCGGAGGTTCATTCTGAAGAGGAACATGGCTGTTCCTTACAATCTAAAATTTGTAGTCATCCTTCAATTTTATGACAGCACAATGTTCAAACTTAACGATTCTTTGTTCTGAGATTTCCGTAATCTAACCTGATTTTAACTATTCCTATAAACTGAAATAGTGGATACATGGCACCAGGGTATGCTATGGAAGGATTTTTTCAGTCAAATCCGATGTTTTCAGTTTCGGAGTCCTCTTACTGGAGATAATAAGCGGCAAAAGGAACAATGGCTTTCATCTTTCCGAGCGTGGTGAAAGCCTCCTAACCTTTGTACGTTTTAATCCTATCTTTGTCTTCAAAAAATAGATGGCTATATTGCTGTATCATTCTAATACTAATTAACATTACAGGCATGGAAACTATGGTCTAAAGGTCAAGGAATGGAGCTAATAGACCCGCTCCTTGTTCAGTCGTCTGTGCCAACTCAGGTTCTTAAATGCATCCGTATCGGGCTGTTGTGCGTGGAAGAAGACCCAGCGGACAGACCTACCATGTCAACTGTGATTGTCATGTTGGCAAGCGAGACCACAACACTTCCTCTACCAGCAGAACCTGCATTTTCTGTTGGACGTGTTGTTGCAGAACCAATTCAATCCACTTCAAATGATAGTCTGTTCTGTTAATGAGGTTACAATTTCAAATATCTCGCCTCGGTGATTGATTAGTGGTTGCATCGTCCTTTATTTCACTATTCTTAGGATTCTAGCTTCTGAACACTTATTAAGCCGTTTTTGACTGAATGACAACCATAAGATGTGCTTAATTTTTTCGACAGAAGAATTGGAGCTATCTTCATATATCAATATACAAAAGAGAAAAAAATATATTGACTATAGATGTATTTGATTTTATTTTTCAAAAGTATATCCATTTTTATTTAAAGAATTAATTCAATCATTTACTACTAAATTAAACTATACTTCTTAGAACAAAAGATTAAAGAACTTTGAAAAATAAATCATAAAAATTACTGTATACTACTATTCCAAAAAAAAAAAAACTCCTTTAATAAATGGGATGCTACGGACAAATTCGACACAGGAACAAAGAAATCTAAATGTAAATATGTAATGAGAAAAGTCTGTTTCAATACGGAGCACTAACTTCCGATTAGAGTGTGGGCCTGCGACTTTAAGGCACCATTAAAGTGAAAGCTGCACTTGATGTTTATCTCCAACTCCTATTCCATCCGTCACAGACGTGTAAATGTCTTTACAGCATTCAACCAGCCAACACGACCATTACATTGGCTTCACCTGCTTTTGACGGTTGGTGTCTAGAGGTACCAAGTCTTTAGGTGCCGGTAGAAAACCCCATATTGAGAAGATCACCACTGTTATGGTCCTAGGAAAAAAAGAAAGAGAAAAAATGCTTGTCTACAAGTCCTTCATAACTCTGTTGTTCCTCTCCTTGCTTAGCTTTACCATTGGAGCACAACAAACTTACCTCGCCCATAGCTGTTCGAACGCAACCACTTTTCCCACAAACGGTACTTACCAAGCCGATCTCAATCACCTGCTTTCCTCTCTATCCTCCAACGCCACCCGCGGCAATCGATTCTATAGCACAACCTCTGGCAGAAACTCTGACGTGGTCTATGGGCTGTTTCTCTGCAGGGGTGATGTTTCGAATAGTGGCTGCGAAGAATGTGTCTCTACTGCCATCAACGACGTCACTCAACTTTGTGCTGTTGAAAAAATTGCTGTGATTTGGTATGATGATTGCCTCTTGCGTTACTCAAATCAATCTATCTTTTCCATCGCGACCATTGTACCTGCAATCTATATGTTGAACACGGGAAATGTCTCGGACCAAGAGCGTTTTAACCAGATACTGGCTGATACGATGAATAATGCAGCAACCCTGGCTGTAAATGCTACGTTAGGTTTAAAAAACTTCGCGACCAGAGACGCGAATATTTCAGGGTTTCAAACACTGTACAGCCTTGTGCAGTGTACTCCTGACCTATCAAGCACGGATTGTAATACATGTCTGCGAGGAGCTATAGCGGCTCTGCCTAATTGTTGCAGTGGAAAGCAAGGGGGAAGAGTGCTGACTCCTAGCTGCAACATTAGATATGAACTTTACCCGTTCTATAATCAAACCGCAGTTTCAGTTCCGGCACCTCCGTCTGTGATAACTCGTCCTCCAGCAGCTCCAGGTTCAGTCATACCATCCGTTCTATTGCCTTTTTATTTATTTTTGTTAGTTGAGTTAAATAATTATAATTAGGACGACTATATGCCTTATAGTTTTCTTCCAAAAAATTACCGACGCTAAAATTTGCCTTTCCTTGATGGAATTGAGGAATTGACATTGGGAAAGTTCTGGTTCCCGGAAGATTGCCGCAAAGACATCTCGAATTAAAAGTCACAAATGAATTTGAATTTGATTTTATTTGATAGTTGTAGCCTTCCACATATCCTCTCCACCTTCTAAGCATGCTTTATGGTATTAGAAATTATCGTGACACATCTTTAATTCTTTATTGCATCTGCAGGAAAAAGCCAAAATTCGTGGCAAATAATTATTGCCATTGTTGCTCCAATTTCTGCCTCTGTTTTGCTTTTTTTCGTGGGTTGTTGTCTATTAAAAAGGAGAGCAAGGAAGTACAAAGCTATAGAAGGAGAAAATGGTAAAACACAACTTATTTTGAGCCAAAACAATCTCATTTCTCCGGTTTCACCCTGTTCTTTGATTATGTTTTACAGAATATGACATTTGCTAGTTTGATTTTACAGCAGGAAATGATATAACCACAATAGAGTCACTGCAGTATGATTTTAGCACGATACAAGTTGCCACAAACAACTTCTCAGATAGGAACAAGCTAGGAGAAGGTGGTTTTGGTGAAGTTTACAAGGTATTATTAGTATTTAATGACATGTAGGCATTTTATACATGCTTACAGTGTCCAAACTCAAACTCTCAGAAAGCTTTTCTAATCAAGGGTATCTTACATTCTCAGGGTACCCTTCCTAGCGGACAAGAGATAGCTGTTAAGAGGTTATCAAGAAGTTCAGGGCAAGGGGTGGAGGAATTTAAAAATGAGGCTGTATTGGTTGCCAAGCTTCAACACAGAAATCTAGTGAGACTACTCGGATTTTGCTTGGAAGGAGAAGAAAAGATACTCTTGTATGAATTTGTGCCCAATAAAAGTCTTGACTATTTTCTTTTTGGTACGTGTAATATACTGTTGCAAGAATTTTGTTGGGACTTTTAATTGATTTTAAACACTGCCTAGAGAGATACATGGGTATATCTTAATCTTAGATTTGCTGTGTGAACAAAACTACTTATTCATTCATTTATTTATTTATTTTTATAGATCCTGCAAAACAAGGACAATTGGATTGGTCAAGACGTTACAAGATCATAGGAGGGATTGCTCGAGGAATGCTTTATCTGCATGAGGATTCTCGGCTTAGAATCATACACCGGGATCTCAAGGCCAGCAATATATTATTAGATGGTGAAATGAATCCAAAAATTTCAGATTTTGGCATGGCAAGGATTTTTGGTGTTGATCAAACTCAAGGAACCACCAGAAGAGTTGTTGGTACCTAGTAAGTTTTGAACATGTTTAGCATTTGTTTGCATAAGTTTCATACGCAATTTAACCATGAGTTGTTGCATCCTAATTGTTGAACAACTTAAAGAAATAAAAGCTCATTTTGGTTATACCCTGCTTTTAATCGAATTTAGGAATCCTTGTGACATATTAACACCTCCAGCTAAATCATTTATAACAAGCTATCCTGATTGTTGTTAGCATAAATAAATTATTAGATCAAACTAAAAATTTTTGTTCTTGTCATTATACTAACATTGCTAATGGTTCTGCAGTGGCTACATGTCTCCCGAATATGCAATGCAAGGGCAGTTTTCTGTGAAATCAGATGCATATAGTTTTGGCGTTTTAGTTCTCGAAATTATTAGTGGCCAAAGGAACAGTAATTTCTATCAAACAGATGGTGCTGAGGACCTCCTTAGCTACGTGAGTATAATTCAGCCTATACGAAATACGAAATTAAAATTTAAGGTGAGGTGACTTTTTAAATCTTACTTGATGAACCACTGCAGGCTTGGAAACATTGGAAGGATGGGACGCCATTGGAATTGTTGGATCCTATTCTGAGGGATACTTACTCTAGAAATGAAGTCATTAGATGCATCCAAATTGGGTTATTATGTGTTCAGGAAGATCCAGTTGACAGGCCTACGATGACTACCATTGTTCTCATGCTTAACAGTTACTCTGTCACACTACCATTACCTAAGCAACCGGCATTTTTCCTTCACAGCAGAACAGAGGGAAGTATGCCAAACAAGGAGATGGAATCTGATCAATCCACTAGTCGATCAATGCCATGGTCTATCAATGAGGCATCGATTACTGAATTAGACCCTCGGTAAAGTGAGTTAATAGATGCTTCCTCAGTATAGAAAGCAATCTGCCAATGTTGAATAAGTCCTTTTTCTGCCATTGCTGTGAATATTTGGTACGATTAAGTAGTGGTACTTGTGTACTTGATCCAGTCACTTTATGTATGAACTGGACATACAAGAGTTATTTACCCCCAAAATCTTGATATTCTGTAGTATTCTACATGTTTTATTAAATCAACTAAGCTGCTCATCATTTGTCTCTTGCAGTTTTATATGCTAATGAAGAAGCTATATTTAACCCGTAAATGTGCTTATTGTAGAATTATCTTGGCTTGAACAATTTATTTGGGGGAGCATAATTTTCCCCAAGAGAAAACAAAAGTAAATGTTTTCAAACGAATCAGCATTAGCACTACTATATAAATGAACTTATAACAGTTAAGTTGAAGAAACAGTAGCTAGCAGCCTGATGATAGTTACATTTCTATAAGAATTTTATACAACAATTAATTGATATCTTTACTGTTATTTTTGAAATCATGAATGTAGCAAACTCCATAGTTTTCTGTGTCCAGAGATCCTATTTCCTTTCCAATGCACTACCTCCTGGGAATTGAGGTGACACGTAAGAGATACTACGGCGAAGCTGAGTACCCACTTCATAAGACTACATTTCTCTTTCTCAATTAACACCACTATCCTTTAAAAAAAAAAAAAAAAAAGAAGAAAGACTCGGCACAATGCAGTATGGATTTTACAAGGAAAACTTTTCCTATAGTAAGCCACATTTTCTAATAGAAAAAGGGTAACTAAATGATTTCAGGACTGATTCATCTTTCCGAAATAACTTTTTTCAGGAATTAAAAATTGCCCGTTAGATGTCATTCATCCACTTCAGTCGCCATTAGCGAATTTTCTATCACCTTATTTTCCACTGTCATCTCAATTTATTCAAGAATAATCTCCCGAGAGACTAAAAAATAATATTATGTCTTTTGATTGGGACTGAGAAGGGTGATTAGACCACAGCAAAGTTCTTGCATCTTTACCAATCGCCATCATTGCCTGATTTATCTGAGAGTCAGCAGTTCCCACTTCCCCATTTCAGACGCAATTATATTAGCTTTTGTATTTTTTTTTTTTTTCTAAAAAAGAAGAAAAAAACAACTTTATCTAAGAAAATTCAACCAAATTAATATGATTATAGCTGAACCTATAGATACCGTCTCCACGTAACAGTTAACAACGGTTTGGTTTTTTTTTATTTTTAGAGGAATAACTTTGTTTCACTCATTTAATTTTAAATCAATGAAATTGAATGAAACTCAATCAGGGCATTCCTTTACCCATAACATATCCTTATCAACAAAAGAGTGGACATTAGAGCACATAGTTAAAGTCACTTAATCAGAATTATTGCCTAAAAACGTGTGAAATTCTCAATAATTACCCGTAATCCTCACTTCCCTGACAGAGATGTCCAAGCGATGGCAGAATTTTACCCTGGTTCCTGGAGAGCAAAATTAGACAGGGAACACAAGAGACCGTCCTGCATGTTTCTACATGAAAAATTTGAAACCAAGGAAACTTGGATTTCCAATTAAATACCGTACTTTTTGACTTGGAAAAGTCAGAGTTTAACCATCAAACCAAGGGATTTTCCCATGTTGTCATGGACTTGTCGCATTAATTACCATTCTGTTTTTGGCCAGATGCCGTGTTCATTACCTCTTGAAATGGTAACGTTTCAAACTTTAGTTTTTTGTCAAGATTCAACAAGGACTGGGAGTTACGGACACCGCGTTGCTGTGGCTCGCTTAGAATTTTAATCCGTTACGTATGCATCAAGCATGGATTTTTCATCTTAAGGAAATTTTTTACAGCTTTGTGTTTGAAATGTTTTCACTATCATTAGCTATCAATTTCTAAATCGTGAAGGTTTTAAGCATGTTAACACGATGTTGATTTTGTAAACAATCAACTCCATGATAGAAGGAGCATTCATCATTATAATATAAACTTTGAAAATCATAGGTCCAACAAGCTTTGGAGACGCAGAAGCAGAACACTACTGTACTCCGCAGGCAAGGCAATGGAATTTTCATGGCAGTTTTTCTTCTCTTCAACTATTACATTCCTTCTTACTCTTACCATTGCCCAACAACAGCCTCTATATTATTTCTGTTTAGAGAGTAGTGGTAACTTCACCAGAAACAGCACTTACGAGACAAACCTCAATCGCCTCCTTTCCTCTTCCTCCTTTAACACAGCAAATGATTACGGGTTCTACAATTTTTCATCCGGCCAAGGCTCGAACAGAGTTAACGCAATTGCACTTTGCAGAGGAGATGTGAATTCAGGTGATTGCATCAGCTGCATCAATAACGCAACCGCTGCGCTCAGAAATCTCTGCCCCAACCAGAAAGAGGCAATCATCTGGTATAATAAATGCATGTTCCGCTACGCAAATCGCTCCATCTTTGGTGTTATGGAGATCAACCCTTCGTTCTACATGTGGAATGTAAATAACGTCACGAATGTGGATGCTTTTAATCAGGCCCTGGGTTCCGTGTTGGATACCCTAAGAAATAACGCTTCATCGGGGACTTCCCTTCGCAAGTTTGCAACAGGAAGTGCAGAAGTTTCAGCTTTCCAAACGGTATATGCACTTGTTCAATGCACTCCTGATTTGACCGAGGTTGACTGCAGCTCTTGCTTGTCTCGGGCTATTGGATTTATTCCGGTATGCTGTGACAGAAAACAAGAAGGCAGGATAATTGGGCCTAGCTGTAATTTAAGGTTTAAGGTTGAACGTTTCTATGATCTTACCAATGCTGATATACCAATACCATCATCACCGCCACCAACACCAGCATCCCCACTATCTCCCCCGCTCTCAAACGATACCACAAGTACAACAGGTACGCTTTCTGCTTTGTTTTGTCAATTCAACAGTTGTTTCTTTCCCAAATGAGAACGTCTACCTCAGAATATCAAGAATTTCTCCGTCTTGTATCAATGGGATGTGTGCCTGTAAAAATTTTATTTTCCTAGACAACAGAGAAAAGGGTTTCTCTAATTTAACTAATTAAGTTAAGAGTAGTTCCAAAGTTAACTATTTCAGCACTCTTATAGAAAACGCATTTTTTTGAAATTTTGCAGGAAAAAAGAGTAATTCATCTCGAACTACTATTATCATAACCGTCTCGGCCGTCGCTTTTGCGGTACTTCTCATTTCCTGCTGCGTCTGCATCTTTTTAGGGGCGAGGAAGTCAAAGGTGAATGCTGAAAGTAAGTAAAAGAATCGGTTTATTGATTTTCTTCTTTGTTTTTTGTGTGTCAGTGTGTTCTTGTTCTTTTTCCTTTTGGAATGTTGTTAATGAATTTAGCTCGTGACTAAATCTAATGTTTACTTGTTTATGTTTTTGTTCTTTTGTTACACCTCTGAAGAGCGTGAAGCAGCTGAAGCCGTGGATGGAATCACAAGTGCAGAGTCCTTGCAATATGATTTCAACACCATTAGAGCTGCAACAAATCACTTTTCTGACGCAAATAAGCTTGGACAAGGTGGATTTGGGGCAGTTTATAAGGTAAGACGATAATGATCATCCGTAAGAAATAAAATGGGTATGCAAGTTCAATAGGCATATACATATATAATTCATTCTGATATCTTCTCAGGGCACACTTGCCAATGGAGAATTAATAGCAGTGAAAAGACTGTCTACAGAATCCGGACAAGGAGATCTTGAATTCAAAAACGAAGTTCAGTTATTGGCCAAGCTTCAGCACAGGAATTTGGTTAGGCTTCAAGGTTTCTGCCTAGGAGGAAATGAAAGGCTTCTCATCTATGAGTTTGTGCCTAACACAAGTCTGGATAAATCATTATTTGGTATGATATATCGGTGTATTATAGAATGTATACTACAAAGCAAAAGACCAACATCCATGTTTTATTTTATTAATTAGGATTCGTACATTTATGGTGATGCAGATCCGGTTAACCGTACATATTTGAATTGGGAAAGACGATACAAAGTCATAAGAGGCATCTCTCGAGGACTTTTTTATCTTCATCAAGATTCTCTACTTAAAATTATTCATTGTGATCTCAAAGCAAGCAATATATTATTAGACGCAGAGATGAATCCTAAAATTACAGATTTTGGCATGACAAGATTGGTTGCAGTTGATCAAACTCAAGGGGTTGCTAATAGAATCGTGGGAACATGGTAAGTGTTAGAAATCTTCTGAGTCAATAATTACACTTTTAATTGCATATACTATTATTATTTTTGTTAAACTGCCTTCCCATCATGTGAATAAAAGAAAAATCTTGGCTGATGCATGACCGATGATCATCCTCACTTGAACAATTCAAAAGATTGGTAAGTCATGTGTCCCTTTTTTTCCACAAGGAAAACTAATTTTTCTTTTATTAACTTGTAGCGGATACATGGCGCCTGAATATGCAACGCATGGACAATTTTCTGTTAAGTCCGATGTTTTTAGTTTTGGTGTGCTACTTATGGAGATTTTAAGTGGTCAAAAAAATAGTGCTTTCCATAATGGGAGTAATGTAGAAGATCTTCTAAACTTTGTAAGTATTCCTTTGTCCTCAAGCATGAGATTGTAACTCATATGATACTTGTCCAAAGCATTAAAAGAATTTACTGTTTAATAATTTGCATGAATTAAACGCTGCAGGCTTGGAGAAATTGGAAGAATGGGACAGTAATGGATCTTGTAGATCCCAGTTTTAGAGATGGTTCAAGAACTGAGCTGATGAGATGCATCCACATCGGGCTGCTTTGTGTTCAAGAAAATGTAGCTGCGAGACCAAACATGGCTTCGGTTGTTCTGATGCTTACTAGCCACTCTGTCACTCTGCCACTACCCTCACAACCTGCATTTTTTTGCACAGCAACACTCAATCAGGGATGCTGTGGTCGCAGCACTTAAATTCAGGGGCAACACAATCCAGTCAATCCAGAAATGAAATTGTGGTAGTCTCAAAAATTGAGGTTTCAATTACCGAGCTGCATCCAAGATACCAAGCTGGTCAAGTTTGTAAGCATTTTTGTGTCAACATTCAGTACCATTATCATTCATGATTGTTAGAAATTCAGTGATTGTCAGTTTGAGCGGATTACCCTTAGACAATCCTTTTCATGTGATCAATTTGTTATAGATGAACAAATACAAACAAAAAAAGAATAAAAAAATTGAAATCTCCCTTTTTTTTTCTTTTTTGACGGACAATGTGATTGACTTTTGGCTCGACACATGAGTGCCACACGGAAATAAAAGTAAAACTTTTTGTTTGTTTTAATATATAAAAATCTCTGAATTGTAATTAAAAAGTTATTTACATTTTTATTTTTTTTATTTCAAGTAATACCTTTAATATTAATTTGTATTTAAATATCGTTAATTTTATCAATTAAAATGAAATTTCATATAATAATAAACAGATAGATATTTATTATATTGCATAATTATATATGTGAAAAGTAAATAAATAATTATTTTTTTATATTTTTAAAGATTTAATTGATTATAATTTAAAAATTAATGATTTAATTTTATTATGTTTTAAGGTTTGTTCAATAAAAATTTAATTGAATCAAAATAAAAAAATAAAAAATTTAATTGATCATAATAAAATATTAAAATTTTTAATAATTATTAAATTTTTATTAAAAAAACTTTAATCCTTGTT